ACGACATAAAAATTATTTTTGGTGATTTTATTGCTAAAGTCGGCCAAGAGATTATTTATCGACCCACGATCGGCGAGCATAGTATTCATGCTGTCAGCAACCAAAATGGTTTACGCCTGATTGAACTCGCAGCATCATTAGGAATGGTACATGTTTTCTATCTTCTTTATCTATTAACTTCTTTTGGTCTAAAAGTAATTATAAACAATTATACTAGAACCACATCCCAGTTCAGTAGTTGCATTGACAACAGTATGACAAATTTTTCTGAAAATATCTGGTGTGGGCGTATTTGAACCTTGTTTTTCTGACCATCGAACTCAATTTTTATTTATTGACTCTGAGCATAAAGTTGTTGATATTAATAATAATCCTGACTTTTTGACACTCTTTTTTACCCAAACTTATAACAACTTAATATTAAAGCATTGTCCACTAAAAAAAAGTACAACAAACTGCTGAACAATACCCGAGCAATGGTTTAATAATGAATTAAGGTCTCTACAATTGCAGAGAATATAATTACATCTCTTCCCACTTTTAATGTCGATATCCTCTTTAATTATAGAAATTGTCCTTCTTCGAGCAAGTCCTTGTTTTTCGTCCCGTTGGGGAAGAAGAGGTCTCAAATAATAAAGTCTCTTAGTAACAATAAAACACTGAAAACTTTGTTTTCAAACTTCCACAAAATTTATTTGAAATATTATCACTACAGCTGTTTCGGCTGATTGCCTTTCTCAAGTGATCTATTTTGGCTTGGGTTTACAAATTTATAGTCTCTAATGAAATAGGTTGAGGAGGGGAGAACTGTTTGTCTCAAGTTGGTCATTCAGAATTATATCTGTGTTTTTTAATTTGTTGATTTCCATAGATTCTAACAAAGATAGCTTAAGGCCTTTATTTTGAATGTGAAGAATTTTAAATTTGTCATTAAAAGAATGATTATGATCTAGAAGGTGAAGTGCGTATGTCGAATCTGTTTTTCTATTCTTGAAAGCCCTTTTATGTTCTGCTATTCGTTTATCAAAGTTTCTACCAGTTTGACCGATGTAAGTTTTTGGGCAGTCGCCACATTCAAGTTTGTACACACCACTATTTAAGTGTTTTTTATTTTGGCTCTTGTTATTTTTAATATATTTGCCTAGGTTGTTATTTGTTCGGAAAGCTGGTGTTATTCCTTTCTTTTTTATGTGTTTGGCAATTTTTGTTGTTACACATAAAAAAGAAAGGAATAACACCAGCTTTCCGAACAAATAACAACCTAGGCAAATATATTAAAAATAACAAGAGCCAAAATAAAAAACACTTAAATAGTGGTGTGTACAAACTTGAATGTGGCGACTGCCCAAAAACTTACATCGGTCAAACTGGTAGAAACTTTGATAAACGAATAGCAGAACATAAAAGGGCTTTCAAGAATAGAAAAACAGATTCGACATACGCACTTCACCTTCTAGATCATAATCATTCTTTTAATGACAAATTTAAAATTCTTCACATTCAAAATAAAGGCCTTAAGCTATCTTTGTTAGAATCTATGGAAATCAACAAATTAAAAAACACAGATATAATTCTGAATGACCAACTTGAGACAAACAGTTCTCCCCTCCTCAACCTATTTCATTAGAGACTATAAATTTGTAAACCCAAGCCAAAATAGATCACTTGAGAAAGGCAATCAGCCGAAACAGCTGTAGTGATAATATTTCAAATAAATTTTGTGGAAGTTTGAAAACAAAGTTTTCAGTGTTTTATTGTTACATAAAATGAATTTCCATCAAGTAACGGTCGAATTGATCAATTAAGTCTCTTAGTAATTCTAATTGTGGGATCTTTCACGAAATTAATAGCAAAATTTCAAAAGAAACTTCCAAATAGTTCCAAATAGATGTTCCAAACACCTTTACTTATCTTATTAGTTTAGTTCTATCATCATCACCATCTTTCACTCTTCAACCCTGAGTGGGTCTTGGCTTGTTCAAGAATTAGTCGCCATTCCCACCTATCTTTCACCCTGGCTTTCCAATTTCTGACCCCTAGATTCCTCAAGTCATCTTCGACTTGAGTTTTAAATCTAGATCTTGACCTGCCTCTCTTCCTACTGGCTTTTGAATTTAATTCTATCAACTGAAGTATTTCCGGAAATACTAAAATACTTAAAAGTACTACCTAAGTTTCTACTTTTGGGAAAGTGATTGAAAAGGTGATCAAACAACAATTTTATTCCTATTTTGAGTCAAATAATTACTTTAGCAAATCACAATATGGATTCAGAAGTACTCGTTCTACCACGAAGGCGGTATTCTAGGCAGGCTACTGCTCAGAAGAATAAGTACCTATTATAGTTAATAAATAAAATCTTCCCTTTAATTTTTACTTGAACTTAATGTGGTCACCACTCGGTTTCGATATTTCTATAACTTCTTTTTCTAATTTTTTTAATTATTTAAAATTCTAAAACTTTTTCTAATTATTTTAATAGCAGTATCTCTAATGATACTGGCCATCTTCGTACAAATTATATTTTCATTTCCTTTCATGTCCAGACAGATTTTTTCTACTATTTTTGCCCTAAAACACTACCCTTAAAACTTTTATATACTATATCCTGTAAAAATAAAAGAAGGAGGATAAGGATTGAAAATGAAAACGTTGTTTTATGTTTAAATTAAGATTTTATTAACGTTATAAAAATTATAAAAGTATCAAAATTATTTACACATGACATTTGTACTGGTAACTCAATACCGCTATAATACATTTACATTTTAGCCTTTTCCACACCGATTATTCAGCCAGATCAATGATCAATTACTAATAACTAATCTTAATTGAAAAATAAGTAAGACCTTTAGAATCTATCTAGATAATTACTTATCTATTAGGTAGTTTGTTGCAATATTTTGATTGTAATTTTAAGGTGTGATAAAGACTAGAATGTAGTTACACTATATACATATTCGCATTTGATGCTAATATACTTTGATATTTATTTATTGAGATTTGTGTACTTATTGGTAGATATAATATAATTTTAGATTTCGATCACGATACAGTTAATTATCACTTTTGAGATACATATTAAAATTTTATAAAACGTTTTATATTTTTACAAATAAACATGGACTAAAATCATGAATATTGAAATTTTTGTTTAAATTCTTGAGATATTTCATGGCTTATCTTATACGTGAAAAAATGTAAGCAATTACAACGGGCAGAATCAGATCAAAAAGGAAATGCATAATGACGTCATCAATTTTTTAATTTAAAATTGAAACACTAAATCATTAAAGATAATATTATTATGGCAAGTTATGGAAAACCATAGGCCCCTAGTCTGTGGCAGATCTTAAATTTTCAAGGGGAACTAAGAATCCCCATGTTAAATACTAGGAACCACCGGAAAATGGAATAAAGCAAGAATGATAAATTGACAATATTTGTACCCTAGAATGCAAAATCATCTTTGATGCCAGGAGAATCATCGTGAGAGAAATGAAAAGAATGGAAATCAATATTCTAGGTGCCAGTGATGTTAGATGGCTTGGATCTGGACAGACAAATATTGATAACAATAAGATATACTACGTTGGATGCAAATCAATACAACTACCCGAAATATTAACTTAAGTTAAATATTTAATTATATGCTCCTACAGGAGAAAAACCATGAGAGGAAATACGAGAAATACTGATACTCTGAATGTTTGGTTTGGGCTAAAGAAATTATAGAGGTGAAACCTGGTTCAATTTTGCCAATTTTTGCCTGGAAATAATAAGACATTTGATAAGCGGTATAGAAATGGAACAAGTGGAGTTAAAACATCTAAGGGCTGACATCAATAAGTATTCAGACGTACAGGCAGAGATAGAGAAAATACCCAATAATACTCACTACCTGAAGAAAAATTCAAAACAACAATCACCACCATACAAAGAGAAAAACTAAAATGCGACATAAGAATGACAAATATTAGATGTATCACATAAGAAAACCTAGAAAAAATAAACATATAAGGATCTTACAAAAGTCAAAATGAAATGATATATGATGGATGAACAGCATGTGTGAGGAACTGTATTAGAAAATACGACCATTTTAATGCATACAACATGATAAAGGAAATCAAATATAAAGAAAACATTCACTGCAATATATCTAGTAGATGATATCAACATTGTTACTAGCCTAGAAAATGTAGGAAACATGTGAAAAAATACATCCAAGATCTCTTTGAGGACGAGAATATGGTCGGAAAAACAAACGTGTACTTTTTGCACTGACATGCAAAAAGTATAAACTTAAAAACTTGAGTTTTAAAAGTAAACAAGATATTGGGAATCTCATTTTTCTTGGATTTGATCCAAAGACCGGGAAAAGAAAATATTGAAAGAGACAATCAAAACAAACAGAACAAACAAACAGAAACAAAAAGAAAAGAACAAATCTGCAATCAGCATCCAACTAAGTTAAAGCTCATAAAAACCAAAACAAAAGACAAATTTTGAAAGAGACCGACAAGGAACATAAAATGAAATAAAGAACAAAAACTAGAATGAAGAATGTTCCTATTGTTAATAAAATTGAAAAAAAAAATGAGGAAATGATCTTAAATTTACCTATAGAATAAATAAACAATCACAAACAAACAAACAAGGAAATATATCAAGAATATTTCTGGTACCATGCTTTATTTTTTTCAAACATGAATAAAGGTCCAAAAAAAAATCTTGATTAAAGAAAAAGTTAAATCTGATATTAGCCTTCAGTACAATTACGTTAAACGACAACACAAAACAGGTACAAAGCAAGGAACTATAAATGTAGAACTAGTCTAATCAGTCTTATTATTTTAAGGAACAAAAGTAGTAACATCTAAAGAATCGTACAAAAATCTCATTTATAGTTCCCTAACTTATGACATTTTAATAAACACTGACATGTAAAAGTACGATTCTTATTTCTGCTAAAAAATCACAGAGAAACAAAATAGGTATTACTCACAACCTGTAATGGCGCGTATCGAAAAGTCAGTTAGCTTGTTTTGAGGTCGCGCAGGTACAGGTGGCCTCACTTCAGGTTGCCTCGCTCTATATTGACTTGCTTCAACTTGCATCACTTGATGACTTGACTCCAGTTGGCTTTCATCTGATTGTCTTACATCATATTGACTTGATCCAGATTGACTTGATCCAGATTGACTTGATCCAGATTGACTTGATCCATATTGACTTGATCCATATTGACTTGATCCAGATGGACTTGATCCATATTGACTTGATCCATATTGACTTGATCCAGATTGACTTGATGTAAGTTGACTTGACTCTGATTGGCTTGACTCAGGATACATTGCTTCAAAATGCATGGCATCAGGTTGCGTCGGTGAAGGTTGTGACGATGATGTCGTTGGAGATACAAGATTTAGTGGAACGTAACCTGGAAGTGGCACCATTGGTGGAAACAAAACAGGATTAGACGACCACATAGTAGGCATATGAGGCATAACAGGCATGGGTGGCATAGCTGGCATAGGAGGCATAGCTGGCATAGGAGGCATATAAACTGGATAAGGTTGGTAATAGTTATACCGGTACATTGGTTGCGGAGGTAGTATAGGTCTGTATTCAAATGGTGGCACATAAACTGGAGATGGCGTTGAAGTGGCAACTGGTGGAGATAGTATATCATAAGCACAGTCTGGATTTGGTTGTGCTTGTGTTGAACAAGTAGAAACGGATGATGCAGGCGATAATCTCTCATTCGTATTAGAGACAACTGTATCATCAACATTTATTACTTCCTCTTCCTCGTTTACAACCGTTGCTTGCCTCGCCTTCTTTCTCTTATATTTGGCCTGGCCGTTTTCTCTAAACCCTTTAGCGAAAGGATTGTAGTCGATCTTTAGTCTGGTGATCCTCTCGTTTTGATAAGCGGTTACAGCAATAAATTGAGTTTCGGGAAACCTAAGAATAGCTCTAGGTGCCCAACTCAACTCACGTACATCACCAGCCTGTGCTATAATTATCTTGGGCTGGTACTTATGCATCGACGATAATACCACTTGCCCAGCTGGAGGAGCAAAAGTATTGGTTAGCTTCAATCTGCTGAAAGAAAGGGGCTGCGCCATCCAATAGTCGCCGCGGGCAGGGGACTCCGGGTGGATGTAGTATCGCTGGGGGCTAAGTGCCTCTTCTGAGCCAGATGGCAGCCAACCACCTGATGCTGAGTACTTGAAGCGGTTTCTGCAAGCTGGTTCCAACTCAAGAATTACGCTGTAAAGGGTGTTCGGAGACAGGTCCTTGATATCCAATTGGAGAGAAGGAAACATTCGCCTGGAACAAAAGAATCACATAAATTTTATGTTACCTATTGAGAAAATTACAGAAAATTTGTTCAACGTGGTAAGTAACCACTGTTTGAATACCTTATAAAAAATACTATTGACTGTAATTATATAAACCTAATTTTAAAAATAGTTTTTAAACAGTAGCATAGCGTCATTGTTTATCATGGCTATCGCAATTATTCTAAAGCTTTTATAATTCCTGCTGTCGCCGTCTTCCAAAGTACGGGCGCCTCCGAAATTATATAAGTAAGATGATCCCTGTGTCGGTACAGACAGACAAAAGGGTCTAAAGAATGGTGTCAGAAGGACCGTTCTGGCGTCCTTTAACACGTTTAATACACTTGACTTATCGGATGGTGAAAACGTACCGCAAAAACTGTGCTACGTAGAAATAGGGAATTCCAATTTAAGGACCGGACTTGAATGACGTGTTGGATTTCGATTTTAGAAAAACAGATAGGTATATAATAAATGTAAAATTAAAATAAATGAATGGTTAAATTGCAATTATTTTATTATAATATATTTATTTTCTAACAATTACGTTTTTAAAAGGTAAAGAAATGCAAACTTAGGAAAGCCTATTATAATCTCATTAAAGAATAAAGATGGAAAAAAAGATAAGAGAAAAGAGGGAAATCCTGAAAGTTACTCAAACATTTTACTGTGATTTATATTCCTCAAACAAGAACCCAAACAACATTGCAAAGGAGGATCTTAAGAGAAAGATAACGAATGTAAACTCAGAAATACTCCCTAACATAGAATCCTTCGGCTTCGGGTCCAGATGGAATACTTATAAAAATGTTGAAGGAGGGGAGTAAAATTATTCTCGAAGAATTGAAAATTGTTTTCAACGAATGTCTTCACAGAGGAGAAGTCCCGGATGAGTGGAATGAAAGTTCGATAATACTTCTCTTCAAAAAGGAAGACAGGGGCGATCTGAAGAACTATAGGCCAATCTCCCTGCTGTCACAAATGTACAAACTGTTTATGAGAGTAATAAGAAATATATTTCTTAATAGTGCGATATTATTATTATAATACAATTGAAAAAAAGCTACGAGACAATCTATCTAACCAGAAGCAAAAACATTCTTATATTTTCTTTTCCCCAATTCCTGTCCTGTAAAAAATCTCGGCCACCCCGATGAACTTAATCCTTTGTTATCAAAGGGCCGTCGCTGGACAGGTACTCCATCTCCATAGCGCACTTGATGTCCCGACAATGCTGTTTTCACACATGGCCAGAAAACAAGTGCTTCGCTATTGTTCGGACGGTACCGCAAAGCATTGTTGTCTTTTTGTGAAGCGTTAGAAGATACCATACAAAAAATCACTTTGCTGTTATTCCCATAGTATTTAATAGAAAATTAGAAGTAAGCTGAATTCGTAACAGTGTTTGTAGTTTGCCGAAATGAGTAAATTTAGAAGCAGTTTATTGCAGCTGTATGTTTGATGAAATAATAAAGGTTAGAGATATAACTGTATTCAGGTTTTGACTATATACAATGAGATATATACACGATAAAAAAACATTTCACACTTTTCCCTTTGGAAAATTTGTAGAATATAGTAAAATACATAGTGGCTATATTAACAATTGCAGAAATCATACAATTTGCGAAAAATATCTTCTTCCTGTTCCAAAAATCTCGAAACAGGAAGTTTTTAATATTAGGGCCTTATAAATAAGAAGGAACGACATAGGTTTAACAAGGCGTAGAAAAGAAAATATCGAAGAATCGTAGGAAGCGATCATTCATTCTAGTTAATCACAGTAATCAAGAGGGCCTTCCGTTTGCGGTGTTAAATTGTTATTACAACGTGCCACACACTTCATTTTCTTGGATTATTATTAGAAAAACAAAGAGACGAAGAAAAGATGCCGCTGTGGCTGTTGAAATTTACGCATCTGTCGTGCTTTTAGTAGGATGACCTGGTTGACGCCTAGCTACTATTTGGTCGTGGACCAATTGGACCCTACTATACAATAAAAAATCTTAAAAACAGTTTTTCGTGTAAATAGCTAAGTGAGATTTCCACGGATTGATACATACATAAATAGGTATGAGCGGTACCTCTTTATTATTTACAAATAATTTGACTATATTTGCTGTAAAGCGTTAGGTTTAGCAAATAGCAATAATTGTCAACCTTATGGAATAGGAAATAAACGGATATATGGTATTAGTTAAGTATATCTTCTGGATTTGGTTTGATAGAACTTATTTTAGAAATAATAACACTGATCAGCAGTGCGATTGGCTCCTTAAAACAAATAATCACCATGAAATTGTTTAATTAGTACAAAAATATTTGTGTTTTATATCTGAATGTTTAAAGATAACATTTCATAATTGAAAATTAGTGAGATGTTGGTCGTGAAGGGGAGGAATTCTTTTATAGAGCAATGTATAAAGTGAAATGTAAATAAATCGATTAATTTAATGTTATAGCCACAAAACCATCAATAATTTGAAGTGCTCACGTCTAGATAAAAACTTCAATTTCAAGATAAGATAAAGAAAATAAAGACGATAAAAAAGAAAACAAAGAAGCTATTTTTTTTGTTTGCGGAAATAAAAGTGCTAAAGCACTGCTAAAGTGGACAAAAAAGACAAATGTGCGTAAGTCTAGGTATTATAATCAAAAATCAAAAATGTATGTAAGAGAGGGTTTTACATCAATCTAGCATTGCTTTTTTCATTAGAAATCATCAACAAGTCCATGATATTATCCTAGTAACTCATAGAATCAATACTTCTAATATACTAGAGGTTGTCATCTGAGTCAGGTGTTGTTTTTACTTAGTATCGATAAAAAAACGGTTGCCCGTTCTAAAAAACGATTTTTAGAGCATTTTAGCCATGATCAAACACAATTAGAAGGTTCATGAGGCGGTCATTGCACAGAGAAAATCTTTACACCAAGTGGTATAAGAATTAAAAGACAACTCAGGGTATTTGCTATTTCGCTAATTCTCAGAAGCACAACTAATCAACCGACTTATCAAGATATATAGAGATGAAGAATCTTAATGAGACTCATGCGAAGAAATATAAGAGAAAAAGTTTATACATACTATAAATACAGATGAATGAATCGATTATCTAGCAATACATCAACTTTAAATACTAAAACATAGAAGTATAAGGCTATAGCGAAATTGAAGCAGAAGTAATAGAAAAAACAACAAACATAGCTGACTGTCCAAACAATGCAATATGGCGGAATAAAAACTAGCGAGCTAACTAACTAACGGGGCTAAATCGCGAATATACAAAGCTGCTATAGCATCTACAAAGACATACCTAACAGAGACGACACCAGAACCAGAAAAAAACAAAAGGTTGTTTGAAACAATAGAAAGGAATTTACTTTGTGACATATCTAGAAAGACATGGAAATGCAATGAAAGTAAACAAATTTATAGCCAGTAAAAACTAAAAAGGAATATATGTGGGGTAGATGATATTAGCTGTTGGTTGTTAAAGACGAGAAAGTAATGGAATGCACATATTAGCAGAGTGTAAGAAAGAAGAATGGTGAAAATTAGACACCGAAAAAAATTGGGCAACAATCAGTATTGATATGCAGTCGACGTAAGCACGAAGTAATTATTTTTACATTGACCAAAAATTTTGTCTCTATAAACATTCTGATATTGTCTCTATAAACAAATACCGTCCTAAAAAACAAATAATAGTTCTGATCGTCTTGTTGATTGTTAATATTGTGATTTTGACGATTGTAAAATTTAACATTGTGAAATATTTATTTATTTAGTATTTCGTGCAATTGTCCGCTCCCCGTGATTATGACAGTGACGATATGCGTCATACCTGCAACCAAAAATCACGGGAGGCCCATCAGAACAAAATTTGCTTGTTTTACAGACCACTTATAAGGCACTTAAGGAATTTGTTGAGGTACTCTCTAAAGCCCTGAAGGGCCGTTTCCAATTGTTTATCTAAAGCATGGTGGCGCCTCCAAAGCAGGCGACAATCGGTAAATAGACGTTGCATGGTACCTCCTTGAAAATCAATTAAGTTCTTAGTTTTTACCATTTTTCAAGTAAACACTAACAGTTGCGATTAGATGAGTTTGATTTATAGGGTATCTTACGACGTTTAATAGCCATGGAGTATGTCTAGGCTTCTGATTATATTGAATTAAATCGTATGTGCCAGACATGTTGATATCAAGATGAAATAGATAGTAGTGAATGCCATAGTAAATACAAGAATTGGTTACAAATAATCACATGAGATAAAAACAAAAAGAATCTTCCGTAGATTCAAACATAAACACTATTAAAAGAATCACATTTTATAATTAATTATATACAAGACAGATTATCAAAATAGGAAGTTTAACTTAGGACACAGTACAGACAGAATAATATTTAAGAAAAAGAATTAATGAACATAAAAATATCTAATCAATAATAATAAATACATAATAATAACATTAAGAATGATTTCTATTAAAGTGAGATTTTAGGAAAGCAATCAAGATCAGTTTGCTGCAAGATTTGCTAATTTGATTAAGGTTTTTTCAGGAGTGTAAGTCATAGAAAAGTTATTAGGATAAGTCATTAATTTTTGAAATCGGTAACCTCAAAAAGATTCTGATTGGATACTAATTACTAAGTCTTTACTGATCACCAAGGTTTACAGACATTTAAAACATCTCTAGGTGAGTGAATGGTGAACATTTTGTTTGTGGAAAAAATTAAATGCCCAAAGAGTGGACTGAGGCTACTGATTGAGGACGTAATCCCTGTTTGCTAAGCGTGAAGGAAGCTAAGAGGTGAAGAAAGAATTAAAGAAACTAAAAAATAGAAAATCGTCAGGAGAGGTCAGAATGCTGAATGAACTCATAAAGTATCGTGGGCCAGATCTGACCAAACAAGTATTAAAACTGATCCAAAAATAATAGAACTAAACAGAATACCACAAGAATGGAGATGTATGGCAGTCTATTAGAGCTGGATGGTCAGATAATAGAACAAGTGATGAAATTTAAATATCCAGGCAGCACATTATCGGCGAAAAGCTCAAAACAGAGGTGAAAGATCAAGGATCAAAGAGCAAACAGAGCCAGAGATTCCCTGAATGAAACAATTTGGATAAATAAAAATATCAGAAAAGAAACGAAAGCAGAATTTACAAAATAGTCATTAGATCAATGAAATACGTGGCAGAAACACGAACTGACACAGAGAGGACAAAAATAATAGAAACAGCAGGGAACAGAACTAGAGCTGTGGAACAGAGCTAGAAGTACAGATACAGAATCATGCTCACATAAAAAGAAGAACAATCATATCAGAGAAGTTGATCTATGGGAAGTAAAATAAATGAGAAATATTAGTAATGACAGACAAAGGAACTTTAAGAAGATTCAGTCAGTTTTCAAAATGAGGTTCAGAAGAAAATTATAATCAATGGAATAAAAAAAAGAGTGTGGGAAGACGCATATTATTACTGCTTTAAACGAACTATTTGGATCTCAAAAATATTCAGCATTATCAAAATTATTAAGTTGACAATGACCAGAGCCACAGAAAATCCTATTCAAATAATAGATTATAATTCAAAAATAGTGTTTATACTACGTAAATTAAAAAATCGACATTTCCGAAACCTTTGTATATCTTTCCACCCATTGGATCAATTACTATCGATCAAACTAAAGATTGTTTTAATAGTGGCGTGTTGTGGTAGGACCAAAATCAACACCAAATCAACGGGAAGTAGAATGTTTTGTTTGCTTCAAATAAATGTTTACCTAACTTTGATATTTTGCACTCAAATGTAGGGCTTTCGAGGCACATGTGGTTTTTTTCGTCTTTAGCCAGGAAGCTTCTGACTTAAGTTTACACCAAACGGTTATATGTAGCTGATACATTAATTGTCGTGTATTAATAATGTGATAACGTCTAACAATTTAGTTTGTGAACATAGGCGGCGAATACGATTAATTTAAAAGGGGAATTAATCTTTAAATAAATTAAAAGAAAAAATTTAAACAAATCTATGAAAGAATGATAAAATGCAAATCAAAAATGTGAATTTTTTGAACTGTTATTTTTATCTGTATTTTAAATAATTGTTTTTCTACGTAAAATATAAAATTTAGTTAGGCGAATCTTAAGTTAATACTAAGTCATAGTATAGATTGTAATGTACAAGGATGTATAAAATATACATACCGTCCAGTCTTAGTAATGATCATCTCAGTCTCGTGAACATGGAATCGTCTCCACAAATCTTTGTTCTTCAACTCCACATTGCAGTTCAATGGCGGACCATAATCTGGAAAAGAAAAGCAGGTTTAGTAATAGTGATCATATAAATATAATCAAGATATAGCGATAGAGCTAATCAGATTAACAAAATGACTACGGATAGCTCTCGAGCCAAAATAAGAACAGAAGAAGGTAGCACAATCTCAATTGCAATAAAAACAGGAGTGAGACAAAGTGATTCCTGTCAATCACACTATTCGACATAGCAGTAGAAGGAACAGAAAGTCCAGCGGAATTAAGGGAACCCTAGTCCAATCTTCAACGCAAATAGTAGCATATGCTACTGACATAGTTCTTATGGGAAGAAATTAGAAAAGATTAAATGAAGCATTACCAATTCTAAAGAGGTCTAGAAATTAACGAAGAAAAATCAAAATATCTACTCTGCTTTAGATTAGATTAAATTTATTAAAGCGTAGATACTGAGATGGCTGTGACACATAGACGAGGAAAACGACCTACTGATGGAAGCCAGAAACTAAAAGACCGAGGGGAAGACCTAGGGAGAGATATAATGAGGACTAGGTCATAAGAGATATCAAAATCCTGAAAGTAAGAAACTTTATATCCTAGAAGTATCTATGCACATACCGAATTAAGTAGAAGATAATTGTAACGAAAGCTAAGTCATACAACAAACTGACAAGATACAAGAAGTGTGAGGACTGGTTCACCGCAATAAGCGAATCAGAGAGCTCTAAGTAAGAACGACAAACATTCCATCACGAATGAAAAGGAAAAAAGGATAGCTTTTTGTATTATTTGCTGTATTGTATTCGAATTTTGCTCGAGTGGTTATACTGTTTTTATAAATTATGATACAAAATCATAAGACGAGGAGGTATGAAACCTTTTTGTCGTTGGTATCTTCTGTCATAAAACTGTTGCAAATCGCGCACAGATATTTGTACTCTAAACAAGAGATGATAGATAGTGGTAGCAGTTATATGAAATCATAAATATTTGTTGGCAAATGCAAAATAATTAGTTTTGTGGGTATTAAAGTAGATGTGATAGCTAAAGAAGTAGCTAAAGCTAAACTTAAGCAAATGACATAGAAGGATAATTGAGTAACTTAATGACATAATTTACAACTTTTACCAAGTAGTTAGTCGATAAAAATGGAGATCCGGTGAGTATGACAAAATTGAAAGACATGTATAATGACTTAACAACTAGTGTTAGGTCAGGTACAGCAAACTGATTAATTTCCTAGATTGACTAGAATGGCATCAGAGCTTAATGCTTAGTCCGTATTTATTCTCATTAGTTATCAGATATGAGAGAAATTGCATAGTAACATTACTTAGTGGTTACCGCATGCTTAAGAAACGGTAATAATGAAATAGAAACAGCAAAAAGAAAAACTCCAATGAAATGTGACAGTTACCTGTTATACTAGCATTATCCTGATTAATTTAACAAATAAGATCTGGTCAAAGATGATATAAGAAAGACAACAACCGTACGGAAAGTCACAGAGAAGAATTGGAAAATATCAGTGTTGTTCTGTAGGCAAAGGTCTAGAACAGACCAGACTTTCACATTACGATAAATCTTGCCATGAATGAGTATTGCCATGAATTTAATGTTAAAATTATCTCATCAATTCTTTGTTGTTGCATTACATATAACAGTATAATTGGTAACATACTATATGAAATAATGGTAAGCTTATAAACCAAAGAAATCGGAACTATTAAAAGACAAAACACAAAATTTAGGGCAAAAATCTAAAAAAAAATTGACGGATGAATTCTTGGCAAACATGAACTGTAGCACTGTCTTGAATTATATTCAATTTGGTCCAGAAATCTAGCGCATCGAACCGACAATGAACTTTTGACACATCTGAATTCGTGTACATGTACCAGAGAATCCAAATTTGTATTGACAAAATTGGATGAATCACAATTGATAAGATTTGAAAAGAAAGTCACTTGACATATACTTATATATGGTGGTGAAAACGAAAATGACATTTGGAGATAATCAATTTCGAATTGTCTGAAGCCTACTGAGACCCCAAATTAGTAAAGTTGACAAAACTTGACAGACTGAGATGAATAGGCTATGTGGAAAGCATGGAAGCCCTTTGACCAGCAAAACTCATAACTCAAAAACAAATGGTTGGAAAAGCAACACAAGGGGTGGCCCAAAATATGATACATAGATCTTCCATGTAGGAAGCTAAGCAGGAATTGAGAACGGAAACTAGACATAAGAATGAATGTAAAGAATTAATTGAACAGGCCAAGTCGCAATCTATTGTGGATCCGATGGTAATGATGATGAATAGATAAAATAACTATAAGAGATTAAGAGCACAGGGATAAAGTAGATATAACACAGTGATGTCTTGTGTTTTAAATTCTATTTGAAGCCATAATACTAGGCTTTATATTCATTACAACGGAGAAATAAAAAGAAATAAAAAATTTTAGACAAACTTTACATGTGTGTAACCGTAGAAAAATATTAGTGTACGCTAATGGATACAGATTACAATCAAATAAATAACACAAATTATTATCACAGCACTTAATTACAACACAATTAGTAAATTTGTGTGATAATGTAAGTACATTAGATAATGCTAACTAAGGAAGATATTAGGTAAATGAATAATATAATGTACTTAAATTGAGGAAGACAACGACAGAATGAGCTAACGTGTTCCAAATTATTAAAAAATAATATGGGTTATCAGTAAAAATGCTATGGGAATACTAATGAGAAATGTTTAATAATGCAATGAGATTATAGTTAATATAAGAAATCTACAATTAAAAGATTACGAAGACATAAACGAAACTACTAATGACACAAGGTCCTACGCTGCTGTTTGAATCGTAGATGACAATAATATCATGGGAAACTTCATATCCGTAAGATATTTTCCATGAGGTCTAACAATAAAACAAGTCAATGAAGAGAAAACCGAATATATGTGCATAAACAGAAACAAATGAATTAGACCAAATATCAGCCAACACCTAACATCGATAGAGTTGACCGGTTCAAATACCTTAGAGCAATAATTACAGTTGGTAATCAATAATGTCACTGAAGAAGTAAAATATGCAGAATCCAGACAGCAAATCTCTATATATAAGCAATGTATACGCGCATAAACTCTAAAAACCTAACAAGGATATTAGGTTATTAGGATATTACGGTCCAGCAAAAGCAAATAAAGAAAAACTCAAAAAATACTTTAAAAATCAGCATATAATAAGAAGAAAAGTATAAATAAAAGAAAAAGATTAGGATTGCCCACGCCACGTAAGATCTTCAATAATGAAATAAAGAAATTGGAATCTTTGGAGATATGGGTATAGGGAGATTTTGGAGATCTTCTATAAGATCTTGGAGATATAGTTTGGCTGAGTTACAAACCAATAACTAAGAGAGTTAATAGGAAAGGCTTTTTAATAAATGCTTATTGAGGAAAATATGCATCAACAGTGGAACATCGCTAACATCATCTTAATTGATAAAAAGGGTAACACCACTGGCATAAAATTTCGAAGTAATTTCGCTTCTTTCACAACTATACCAAACATCTACTTAAGTCATTACGAATAGGCTTATTCGGAAATTGGATCAACCAGTAGAACAGGCTGGATTTAGAAAGGGGTAAAACAGGCTGTGACCATTTGCACAGAATAAAAATTCCAGTAGTTTTTATCTAAATTTATAGATTATGAAAGTCCTTGATAGATTGGAAGCATAGGTCATCGAGGAAGCATTGATCAACAGTCGAATAGACATACGAATACAGATACAGGATACTGGTTATTATATAATAAACATAATTTACATAAAAAAAGAAGGTAAACTATCTAAAAAATAATCCAATTGAAATAAATCATGGCATAAAGCAGGGAAATAAATCATGGATACAATATATCCAGTATTATTTATGAGGAAAGGAAAATCTGTCAATAGAAAGTATTTGAATTGTGGCAGATACGCCGATGATGCAGTAATAATAGCGGCCAGTTGAATCGAACTTGAGAGATGGAAAAGTTACATATAAAATCACAAGAAAAAAGATTCTTGTCAACAATTCAAGCGTTGACATTCATGAAAGTTGCTAAAAGCTGGTAAAAGCTCAAAGAGCCACGAAACGACAGATGCTGGGTATTAATAATGCGGCAAACTCCAAAGAAGAAGAAATGAAAAAATCGGCGGATCAATACGTCAGATGGTAAACAGTACGACAAACAATGCTAAAAATGTAGTCCTGAAAGGCAAACTGAATCAGAAATAAAATCAAAAAAGAAAATTATGAATGATGAGACATTGCAAAGAGGAAAAGGGTTTGAAATTAGAAGATGAAAGACCATTTTCAAATAATGGTCTGAAAAACTAGACTTAACTAGACAAAATGGTGAATCGTTGGTAATATTTAAAGATGCAAACGGCAGGCAATAAATAATAAACTAAAACTAATAAAATAAAAAAAGACATTCTATATCTAATGAAAAGTACTACAAAAAAAATTGACACTGAATTTAAATAAAATATAATGTATACTGTAAGCGGGAATATAAGAAATAATGGTACTACGTATATTTATATAACTAATATGAGGTAGAGTGATAATTGATAAGTTCTCAAGTGCTCAAAAAAGGGACGTTGAAAATGGTTTGGAAAACTACCATTTTCAAATGGAAATGGTCACAAATATTATACAAAATGAAGAAAAATTGTTGGTAACACTTAAAGGTTCAAACGGCCTTAATAAAAAATGAAATTATACATACAATGAGAATAATTATAGAAAAATAAAATAAAAATATACCGTAAGCGTACATATAAAAAATGATAGTACTATATTTAAATCAATATTAAACACAAATAAAACAAGAAAATGCTAAAACAAGAGTAAAACTATGCTTTAAAAAAATAATTAAAGGTGTATGAACTTATTCATATAAAAAATAATTTATATTAATATAATTTATATTGATACAGAACTTTTAATTTTTATAAGAAAAATAGCTTTTAAATAGTAAGTTTGTAAACAAAAAGCTATAAAAACATTTGAAATACCACAAGAAATATTTAACTCAAATAAAAATATTCAAAAATTTAATTTTTAATAAAAATTAAAGATTTTAAACTTACCATCGAAGCCGCTATACAAAGGAAGGTTCAGAGCTAAATTCATCGTCGCCAGATTAATGACAAAATCGACACTTTCAAAAACAAACACAGAAAATCACGAGCACACTGGGTACTATCGCATCCGACTGTTTCAACAACTATTTCGGAATTAATATCAAAATCAGTCAAAACAGCAGTTAAATAAACACAACTTTCTAATAGCTTTTTGGTTTCATCCCCTTGATAGCGGGGTTGGGCTAATCCTGTTGGCCGCGTACCACCTCCTTAGTAGTACCGTTGGATGCGATTGGTCGGTTTTGGCAATTTATACCTGCGTGGGTGTTTGCCTAGGTCCTAATGACTTTAATCAGGACCGGGTATACTTTATTAGAAATCGATGTAAATTTACTATTTTGGGTAATTACCTGACATTTTTAATAAAGTAGAAAAAAGAAAATAGAACCGAAATATAACTGTTATTTTTTCATCTTACTATTAATATTAGATCTATCAGCTTAGTTTATATAATATGATTTTTGGATTTTTCTTTACCTTATTTTCATTTTGGAAAAATTGTCCGGTTTTCTTCTATTTTTTGCTTTTATTGAGGAAAGCTATGAATCCTTTTACTTTAAAGTTTTTGCTACTTTTTATCAATGTATCTTTGGCCGTTAATGTTTTGATATGTTTAAGACGATTGTCGAGCTTATTTATAAATTTTATCGGTGTTTTTGGGTTAATTTTATTATGATATATCATCTTTCTATTATATAAACATCTAAATACTTATCCTCATCACATTATAGTTTAGACAAGTTGTCTTTATTGTCCATTTTTCTCATAATAGTGAAAAAAATGGTATATCCATTAAGTAAAATACAAATGGTTGATTCTACTGAAAGTAGAAGTTTTAGAATAGAATAGAAATATGCTTTATTGTCACTAAAAATTGTACAAATTTATGGATAAATCTTACAAAAAGTCAAAAAAATAATAACAATATACAATCCATTGCAAAATTTAACTAAATGGCAAATTGCATAATAAATCCTTACGAACTAGTTTACGAATAAGTTTAAGTTGCTGCATGAGATATCCAAATATATAAAAAATACTTTTGTTGATTGTACCTAAACTTATTGTAATTTCTTAGTTATTCCTTAATAAATTCTTCGACTAAATAATATGGTCTCTCACATATATAGGCTTTTGCCAATTTACGAAACTTAAGAAAAGTAGTTGCAGATTTAAGTTGCAAAGTAGATTTTCTTACTAACTTAGTGGACGGGATCGCTAAATTAACATAAAAGCTGGAATTTCTGGTGGAGTAGTCATGATTAGGTCTTGCTGGAAAACCATGTAGGTGTTTACGAATTAAGCAAAGAGTTTCTAAAATATATAAAGAGGAAAAAGTTAAAATCTCGTGATTTTTCAAGTAGCTACTGCAATGGGTTATTCTACTGAGGCCAAAAAGATACCGTATTGCTCTTTTTTGTAATTTAAAAATAACATCAGATTGAGCAGCTGTACTAGAACCCCAAAAAGAACGCCATATCGTCAGGTGACAAGTGAAACTCACTAAGTACCATATTGAAAGAACAGCGATGTTCATCGATCTATTTTTGAATCAATGTTAGAACAGAAGGAAGAGGAACAGAAACAGAACAAAGAAATTACTTTGAGAAATCATTTAAGCTACCTTATCTTATAGAGTTTCTATTAAAATATTTAATATTTTTGAAGTTTTTGAGAAAAATGCAATTAATGAATTTTACCTGCCGTAATATTGTCTAAAAACTAATGCTATGACAGAAGGTAAACTCAATGAAGTAAGGAAGGAATGTAAACTCAATGTTATAACACACGGTACTTATTTTGAGAAACAGTTTAAGCTATCTGATGTTACAGATTTTACATTAAAAAATTGTGTATTTTTCAAGTTTTCGAGAAAAATGCAATTAGTGAATTTTACCTGCCAAGAGATTGTCTAAAAATTCATGCTATAACAGAAGGTACAATCAATAAAGGAAGGACGGAATGTAAACTCAATGTCATAACAGAATGTAATTATTTTAAGAAACAGTTTAAGCTACCTTATCTTATAACGTTTATATTAAAAAAATTTGTATTTTTGAAGTTTTTGGGAAAAATGTAATTAGTGAATTTTACCTGCCGTAATATTGTCTAAAAACTAATGCTATGACAGAAGGTAAACTCAATGAAGTAAGGAAGGAATGTAAACTCAATGTTATAACACACGGTACTTATTTTGAGAAACAGTTTAAGCTGTCTGATGTTACAGATTTTACATTAAAAAAATGTGTATTTTTCAAGTTTTCGAGAAAAATGCAATTAGTGAATTTTACCTGTCAAGATATTGTTTAAAAATTCATGCTATAACAGAAGGTACACTTAATAAAGGAAGGACGGAATGTAAACTCAATGTCATAACAGAATGTAATTATTTTAAGAAACAGTTTAAGCTACCTTATCTTATAATGTTTTTATTAAAAAAATTTGTATTTTTGAAGTTTTTGGGAAAAATGTAATTAGTGAATTTTACCTGCCGAAATATTGTCTAAAAACTGATGCTGTAACAGAAGGTACACTCAACGAAAGGAGGAAGAAATGTTAACTCAGTGTTATAATAGGAGGTACTTATTTTGAGAAAAAGTTTAAGCTATCTAACATTACTGAGTTTATCTTAAAAAATTGTGAATTTTTGACGTTCTTTAGAAAAATGTAATTAGTGAATTTTATACTCAATAAAGGAAGGAAGGAATTTAAATGAGTTTTAAACACATTTTCACTTAATAAAGTAATTATTACAACTTAAGAACGGCAAACAACAATAAATACTGATTAAGTCAACTAACTGAACTAACATAATCCACAAAATAGCATGCAATAATGACTTTTACCTGCCGGGATCTTATTAAAATTTGCAACTAATGAAATGTTTCAAATTGAAAGTCTGTTTTGAAACGATGTTTGTAGCTAGTGACTTCTTCCAAGCAAAGATCTTAAACCATTAATGAATTTGGTGATAAAATGTCAATTTCGATCATTTTTGTACTTAGTGAGTTTTATTTGTCAACTGACGATATCGAAGATGAGACTCGAACAAAGAAAAATATGTTGGTTTTGAAGTTAATGTAGATTTATAAATAAACTTTATTCGATTATGTTGTTATAGTTTCATTATTTTAATCATTTAAAATTTTCGTTCATGCTTTGGGAATTGGGTTCTTTTTGAATACAATAACGTAAAATAAAAACTATATAATATGTTCACAAAAATATTATCTAAGTACCTAGGTAGCGTGGAGCAGTTTGTAGTCGCTTTTAATCCTTCTATAAAACTGAACCCATTAAAATCTAGGTAGCTTGGGGGAGTTCGTAGTCGCCCGTAGCTGTTATTAAGAAGCAAGGGTTGAAGAGCTCCTTTATAGGATAATGCTACTGTCTTATCCACGTTAAAAGAGAGTAAATTAGAGTTGAACCAGGTTTTTATTTTAAGTAGATCAGAAGCTATAATTGCATAAAGGGTTGTAATATTAGAGTTCCTCCAAAGAAAAAGCAAAAAGAAAAAAAATTCCATTGATTTTTAAGTTAGTTATGTCATTTATAAAGATAAGGAAAAGTAGAGGACCCAATCCTGAACCTTGTGGTACTCCACATACAATGTCCACATACAACACTATTCCTCAAGTAAGATAGGAACCAATTCAAAGAAATACCTTGAATTCCGTAGAAATTTAGTTTGTTTTTATCAAAATGTCGTGATTGTATAAATATTATTGTTTAGTGCTTAATAAACCTCCTCTTCTTCTTCCTTCTTGTATGTAGGCTTTAAAGCCTGTTTCTTCTTCAATATTAGCCTCCTAAATTGTTTAAATTGTCGCACCATATTTTTCTTGGTCTGCCAATACTTCGTCCATTTGGTGACTTATCTCATGCTATGTAGTTTATTCCCAGTAAAAATAGTATATTTTATTAGAATACCACAAGAAAATTGCTTTAGAACAACATAAGTGATAGGGAAAATTAATATCAGTATAAAAAAAGCATATATTACAATTTTTATTCTAAATTGCACGGCTTTCTTTCGCTAACTCCGAACCTGTCCAACATTTTATCATAATCTTAACTCAATATTATACCCAATTTTGAGAAAAGTTGCAGGTAGTTAAAGGTGATAGTGGGGGCTGAAAATGGCGTGTGTAAAGTAAAGAATATAAGCACCTCACTAAATCTGACAATAATATACCTACAATTACATAAAATATTCTTAATAAAAAAAGAATTATATAACATTTAACGCAAAAATATATTTTGATTTTATGGTACTAATAAAACTTTATTAACGAATAATTATATCAGATAAATGATAATACATTAGTTTTCAATCCAATTCTTCCTTCTATCGAAGGTTAAAAACCAATGCGGTTTCTATTCATCACAGTTCTAAGTGGTTTTGCGCTGCGAAACAATTTTAGGACATAGGAGCAAAATGTCACTTGTCAAAGTGTTCAATGTGTTTTAAATGTATTCAGTTTTTTCGAATCCTGAGAGAATTAAAAAGTATATTTGAAAATTTTAAACGCAGAATAAAAGATCACGTTATTACCGAGGGCCAAAAGGCCCTGAAAACTTCTATAATTTTTATTTTAATAAGTTACAGGGGTGAAAAGAAAATAGAAAATTTAGTGTGACTTTTAATTTGAAATATCTCATTCAAAAGAAACTTTTTGGTTATTCTAAGGAACTTTCGGCCCTCGATGGAGAGTTTTTAAGCCCCTTATTTCGATAATGTTAAACGTTATAGGCTATTCTGCCCATGTTTATTAATAGAAAAACTATGCATTACTTTATTAGCGGATAAGATATTCCCTTATTTAGGTAGAAATAAGGGTCACGTTATTAAGGCATTACGTATGTGTAATGGTCTCAAATACCATATATATATATATATATATATATATATATATATATATATATATATATATATATATATATATATATATATATCTAAATCATAAAAAAAAAACGAAAAAAAAAAAG